GCCGTGCCCAGTCTCACCATGCCTGGCCTCATGGTCACTGTTAATTATCTCTTCCAATGAACTGAGTCTTTTACCTTCTTTAATATTTTCATTAGTCCCAGAGAGGAAAGAGAAAGAGGGCTGGACAATTGCTTCTGGCTTCTGGGTCCTTGCTCCTCTTTCTTTAAACTTGGTGAGCCTGTGTAACAACCAATTGTTTTTTGACATGACTTCACTTGGACACACTTTTTTGAGATGCTCAGGTGTCCCCCTTTGAGCTCTCTGACTTTAGCCATGTTTCAACTTGATTTTCAGGCCTCAGGAATCCTCACTGGGGCTGAATACAGTGGGAACAGGAAGTGCGTGATGGGATGATGTTGAGGAATTGCTGCTATGGACTGAGAGCTGTTTGTCTCTCCTCCTCCGCTCTCAGGGGAAACCCATCTGGTGAAGTTACGGTCATATTAAGCATAGACAATTTAACAGGGACCCCTGGAATTAGATGCCCCTGTCTCTGTTATTTCAGGCAAACTCAATGGGAACTTGGGCAGTGACCATCCCTGTGTGCTTCTGTAGTTTTGTCATCTGTAGAGTGGGATAATGATACGTGTCTTCAGAGGTTGTGAAGACCAAGTGAGATGATTCATACAAAGAGCTTGGCTTGTGACTGGTGCATACCAGGTGTTCAAAATGAACGCCACTATGTATGATGATACCAGTGTATTAGTGACTCCAGCTGGCTGTGAGCTGGAGCTAACTCATCTGGGAGGGAGGGGAGGGGAGAGGTGAGGAGTGGGTGGGAGCTGTCCATGGTTCTGCATCCATTCAGCCAAGAAGCCATCTGACTGATTCAGTAAACATCAGTGATCACCTCTGTTGTGTCAGCACCCTTCTCTGCACTGAATTCTTCAGGCAAAAGGAAAGCATTTATCTAGGTTCTCAGAGTCTCATTCACACAGAGGTGAGAGTGTCGGCGAGCATGGGGCTGTCTCATGTACGTGCATCTCTGTGGGCACGATGTTCTAACACTGTGTGTGTACTGTGAGTGTACTCTGTGTGTGTGTGTGTGTGTGTGTGTGTGGAGAGAGAGAGAGAGAGAGGAGGGAAGGTGGGAAGGGGCCGCGTGGGTGGCAGCTGAGATGAAGGCAGGGTATTGCTGTAATAGAGCTCACCTGTGTAAACTGGCCGGTAAGGGGGCCCCAGCTGAGCCATGAGGAGAGGATGGCCTCCCAGAAACCCCTGAAGAGACTGTAGGGCACACTGACTTCCACCCCATCCCCATCCCAGCCCACCAGAACAGAGTAAATCTGAGGACAGAGCTGAGCTGTTCCCCTGCGGGGCACTCCAAACTAATTTTCTGGTACATTATACACTTGGCCTTTTGAACAATCAATGGCCTTAAATGCTGTTTGGTTCCCGCAGCCAAATCCAAGAGAAATAAGACTTAATCCATCTGGCAGTTATGGCCAGGGCAGAGAGGGAGGGAGGGAAAGAGGAGTCCAGAGCCGCTGGGACCAGACCTCTGCCTGGCTCAGGAGGGTGGGGTGGGACTGGGGGTAGAATTGAGAGGGACCTGCCTACTTTGGAGAGAATGGGCCTTTAAGGGGTATTGATGGCCAGCTAATCACAGGCCCGTTTGTCTCAATACGTTCTGGCCACTCCAGCTGTCACTCCCTCAGGGGCTGAGCTCTGGCCGGGGAGGGCTGGGATATGGCTCAGGATTCAGGGCTCAGGGTGGGGACCCCAGCCTTGATGTGGATATCCTCGAGGCCAGGACAGATGTGTCTCAATCTGAAGTTAGATTTTGGGCAGAATCACCTAGAATCCCTGAGATGGCACCGGGCAGGATATCCTGAGGGCAGGGACTGGTGTCCCAGAACAGGTTAGGACTGATTGGAAGAACCCACCCTGGCTCAGGAGGACAGCGTGACCGCTGCCAGCCCTGGTCTGGGGCGAAGCCTGGCAGAGGGTGGAGTGGAGGGGCTGCATGTGGAGGAAGGGGCTCGGTTATTCCATAGTGAGAGGGAAAGCAGGATCTGCCTCCTTCAGAGCCTCTGGTGCCTGCAAGTGTGAGACCCCTGGAAGGACCAATAGCCCAGAGTCTCAGGCTGCCCTGCTGCCACCAATGACCCAGCTAGAGGACTGTACCCCAGACACCCCAGGAATGAGGTGGGGGAGTCAAAGACCTGGCCCAGGGCCCAGTTTCCCATCTTTTCTGGAAACAATCACTGTCTAGAAACAGGTAGGTAGAGGATGCAGACCTCTGCTGGACCCATGGGCTTGGACCTCTGCTGGACTCAGGGACCCTGTGGGAAACTCTCTGGAGCTGGGATAGCTGATGTTTGCAGTGTGAGGTCAATTGTCTCAGCAGCCTGCTGAGATGTGGGGGAGGTGGGAAGACGCACCATCCCCAAGGGCTATTTGGAAGTGGCTTCCCTGGGCAGGCATGTGGACGGAGGGGGTGGTGTGTGGGAGGTGGCAGCTCCCTGCACCTGGCTCTGGGGAATGGGACCCACCCTACCTGCCTGTCTGCATCTTCAAGCACTGCCTCCTGCCTGGGTTGCTGCTGACCATGCCTGAGATACAGGCCACACCTCAGCCCCTGGGGGGAGTGGGGGTAGAGGAAGCTAATAAGGGGCCCACCCAGGTGCCAGGGCAGAGACAGAGGGGACAGGGAGCCTGGGGAGGGTGAAGAGGGGACCTCCCTCGAGATGGGTAGGTGGGGGCTCATAGTGGGTGATGACAGGAAGGAGAGAAGCCAAGCTTGGCATTTATTTGGGCTGTGGAATTCCCTCCCTTCCAGTTATTCACAACCAGGGCCCACAAGTTCCCCTCCAAAGCATGGCCCTACCTGGCCCTACTTACCTAGAGAACTGCTCCTGCTTCCTTGGTTCGGGGACGTGCAGCCTTCAGCTGCTGCAGCAGCGACAATACAGTGGTGGCAGCAGCTCTGTGATAAAGGCGGGGCCTGTGCACCTCTCCAATAAGTAATTATGCCAAGAGTGTGTTCTACGGAGACACGGGGCTTGTCTGACAAGGCACACTCTTGTTCCTGCTGCCGAAGCAGCCGGGGAGCTGAGTGGAGAGGCCAGGGGCTGGAGGCGATGGTGCTGCCTGGGGACCCGGCATGGAAAACGGGCTGCTGATCCCCAGGGGCTCTCATCCAGGGGGTGCACCTGCCCCCCCCAGGCCAGAGGGAAGGAAAAGGGGGGCTAGGTCAGAGGACTCCCCAAACAGGGATGTGTAGAGGAGCTGGGGGATGTTACACACTTACATTAATACCTTGTTTTAACAGTTATTATAGTAGCAGAGATACCTAATATTTACATAGTGTTCTGTACTTTTCAGAGCATTTTCATGTTTGATTCTTCCCATAACCCTTTCATGAAAGGACAGATCTTTTCTCCCATTTGAATGATGAAGAAGCCAAGACCTGAGAACATTCGGCGGCTTGACCAAGGTCGCTGGACAGAGCTGGGTTTCTTGACTAGCTGGTTGGGCTCCTTTCCTAGGTTGGCCAATCTCTGTGACACAGCCGAGCCCTCATGGCACACCACAGGCCCTGTGTGTGAGGTCCCCAGGCAGGAGCTGAGAGGAGAGTTCTGGAGGGAGAAGGGACCTGGGACCCTGCATTGGGAAGCTTCTGGCAGCAGGACAGGCCATTCCTGAAAGGCAGAATGAGGCGGCTCCACAGGTGTGGACGAGTGCGTGTTTCCGTGTAGACACGACAATGTCCTAGGAGGAGGCTGCTGACACTGATTGCCATCTGCGTGCCAGGTCTGGTGTAAAAGACACTGCATGACAAACAGCCCTTTCCACACTCTGCACATGTGAAGATGGTGCCAATGAACCCCACAGATTCTGCCCAGGAAGCACCAAGAGCCCAGAAGAGATGCCAGGCACATTCAGTGGGCCTGGGTGAGCCAGGGAAGCTTCGCTATGGAGGCAGTTCTGAGCAGAGTCTGGAAGGAAAAAAAAAGGAGAGGCAACATCAGATGAGAAACAGAGGGCCTGGGGCAAAGGGATGAATGGGCTAGGACGGTGAATGTTTCAGCTTGGATAAACCCAGGGGTGGATGAGGGGCCCGGGATGGCTGGCAGTTGAAATAAAAGGTCAGGTATGAATTTGATATGCTAGAAATTAAGGAGCCCCTGAGGATCATTACAAGGGAAGAAATATGATCAAAACAGTGTGACGTGAGGATGGGAAGGAGGGACTGAAGACAGGCATGGGGCGAGCACTCTGGTCAGCAGCGTTCCATCTCACTTGGAATTCCAGGCCACCATGGAACCTGGAATTCTTTGGCTGGCTGCCAGGCTTTGGGACCTCTAGTGCATCCTGCCACCAGATTGGGCTGGGTTCTAGAAGGTGGGGATGGATGACTCCCACAGCCCATTGCCCCGACCCATGACGCCTTCCTCCCCCGAGCCAGGCCCCAGCCTTCCCTCGACAGGATGCCAGTTCAATGCTGGATTCTGCCTCAGGCTCCAGGAAAAATCTTGCTGCTCTGGGAAGATGCCCTGCTGCTCCTTCTGCTCTGCTCTGTGGTGATTGATGGCTGTGGGTAGGTGGGTAAGAGCCTTCCTTTCCGTGCTCCAGATGGTTGGAGTCAGTGAGGCAGGCTCCCGGAGTAACCAAAGAGGAGTGGATGGACCAGGGAGGTGCCCAGAGGTGGGAGGTGCTCCAAGGGTGGTTCTAGATGTAGTGGCTGGTTCTAGGGGCCAGGAGATGGCTGTAGAGTACCATACCATTCTCTTAATACTGAGTTCTTTTTATTTTTATTTTTATTTTATTTGTTTATTTATTTTTGAAGTGGAGTCTCACTCTGTTGCCTGGATTGGAGTGCAATGGCGTGATCTCGGCTCACTGCCACCTCTGCCTCCTGGGTTCAAGTGATTCTCCTGCCTCAGCCTCCCGAGTAGCTGGGATTACAGGCATGCACTACCACCCCCAGCTAATTTTTGTATTTTTAGTAGAAATGAGGTTCCATCATGTTGGTCAGGCTGGTCTTGAACTTCTGACCCCGAGTGATCTGCCCGCCTTGGCCTCCCAAAGTGCTGGGATTACAGGCGTGAGCTACCACACCCAGCCAATACTGGATTCTTCTAAGTAGGAGGAAAGTGACATTTTGCTGCCTAATTTCTTGGCTTTTCAAGGCCACCCCGGACTAAGGCCCTGAAGTACTCATGATGGTTAAGCAGGAAGGTCCTGCTATTGTCATAAAGGGGAACCAAGGTCCAGGGCAGAAAAAGGTGGTTTATCCTTAAAAGGGTGTGCTCTGTGAGTGACACTCTGAAGCGCCTTCACTAGCCCGTCTGGGTCCCCACATTGTGAGGTAAGACAGGGTTTCTTCTGTCTCCCTCTGCCAGGCCTTCCTGGGGAATTTTAAAGAGACAAATTCTCTTCCCAAGACTGGGGGTGGAGGGAACCCAGGAGCTATAGGCACCTGTAAACCCAATTTGAAAATCAGTCTAGCCAACCAGCCCCCAAAGGAACCAGAGGGAGCTATAGAGTAACTCAAAAGCAGACACTAATGGAGGAGAAAAGAAATGTAGTTACATATTCATCAGCTTTTAAATATTCATGAGGATTGTAAAGCAGATTAATTTTCATGCCTCATTTCTCCCGAGGTTCCTGCTGTCCATATTTTACCACACCAAGATAAGAAAAGGGAGCGATGGATCACCTGGTCACTGCCCTTACCATCACTTAAGGAGCAGCGCGCGCGCGTGTGTGTGTGTGTGTGTGTGTGTGTGTGTGTGTAAGGGCCAGGGAGCAGGAGCTGTGGTCGCTGTGGAGGTGTAGGCGCTAACCTCCTGAGGGACCAGCTCTACCTCCTGCCAGGCCGGGACAGCGTGAGAACAGCAGTGCACAGCTGCAGACAAGTGTGGGGAGGAGGTGAGGGTGTCTGAGGACAAGGGAGCATCCTGGAGTAGGGCAGACTCTGGAGCCATCAAGGTAATTTCGGGCCTCCCCAGGGTGAAGAGAGAAGAAAGAGGACCTTCACCAGAGTCAGCAAGAGCTCCACCTCCACTCCCCTCAACTCATGGTCGAGACAAATGATTGAGTGAGGTGAGGGAGCGGAGGAGAGGGCATGTGGAGGGGTGGAAAGGCATGAAAGAGACCGAAGGACATAGGGAAGGGGCAAGAAACAGGGACAGACAGAAGCCACAGGCGAGGAGAAAGCAAAAGGGTGAGGGTTGCAGTTGGAGGGCTGAGAATGAAAGGGCAAAGGGCAAAAGCAGTGGGAATGGAAGTTAGATATCTGGAAGGACTTCCAGATCTCAGGGTTATTGGACCTTCTCTCTATAGGGCATGGGAGAAATATTCACCCAAGCCATGCACCAGCGGTGAGGCACCATAGAGAGAACCTGAGATCAGAAATGTGCCAAGATTGCTTGGGAAACAGCCAACAAGTGTCCTGGCCAGCAGGGGCAAGGCAGAGTCGGGGGAGACTCCCTGTCAAATGCAAGATGTCCAGGTGAGACATCCCATGGGCTAAGGGGACAAATCTTGTTGTCCAGAGTCATGAATGGGAACCAGAGGGTTCTGTGACGAGAAGACTATGGGCCCCTGGGGGACAGCTGCCCGCACAGCTTCTTGGAGGTCCTGGAGTGTGGTTCTTGGGTAGGGATGCGGTCCATTTAAAAAAAGGCCTGGCCAGCAGCCTTAGGTAGCTTGGACCCACTTTCTTGGAATTAGAGGAGGAATGGTCCAGACTCTGAAGGGGCCAGCTTGGTTTTCCAGCTCCTGCCACTTCATGGAGGCTGAAGGCTGTTCCATGGAGTGGGAAACACAAGGAGCTCTCTGGTGATGTTTGGGCATCACTAGGCAAGACCTTCACCGGTGGGCTCCTTCCCCAGCTACCTTCTCTCCACACTCTCTGGGATCTCCCCACTGAATTCCTAACTTGTGTGTCCAGCTGCTCGTGGGATATGTCCACTGGGAGGTCCAGTAGGCATCTCAAACCCAGCATGTCCACAGCCACGCTGACCCACGCACAAGCCTGTCTGGCTGCAACCTTCTCTATACCAAGCCAGTGCAACTCCATCCTTCCAGCTCCTCAGGGCTGTCAAAATCTAAAGATCTTAAATGGCTTTTATTTGTGGTTCTAGAATCAGGTGACACCTTGTTTTATAAAACAGAATGAGTGTTCCGAAGAACTGACCAGAGGAGGTGGCTTTTATGGACAGGAAGAGGCTGAGCAGAAACAGGGAATGAAAAGTGGATTGGTCATTTCAAAGCTCCTTTTTCTTGTAAAGGTTAAAGCAGAGGGGACTTCCTTTCTTGCCGATGAAAACTGGCCAGTTTGGAGACTTGGCTAGTATCTCTCTCTCTCTCTCCTGATCCCTCCCAAGGTCAGATAAAGACCTTCGTTTTGGCTTGGTGGCATGGAACTTGAGTATGAATGACTCCACTTTGGTTTGGTCTGTTAGGCCCAGTGCAGGAGCTTAGACCAAGCCATTGGCCGCCTACAAATTGTATTTAACAGGGCAAACAACTTAGGAGTCACCCTTGCCTCCTTGCTCCTTCAGCCTTTCAACATCATAGTCAGAACCCCACTGCTTCCACCACCTCTGTGGCTTCAGCTGGGCCCAAGCCCACATCTTCTCTCGTTTGGTTGCAACAGAAGCTGTCTGCTTCCCTCCTGACCCTCCCCTGTCTATTCACACAGCGGTCAGAGTGAGGCTTTTATCAGGGCAGAGCATGTCCTGTCTCTGTTCCCATGTAAGAGTCACACCCCACATTCTCCATGGCCTAGGAGACTCTTTGCAGTTGGCCTCCCCATTTGTCTCCCTGCCTCGCCTCTTTCTCACGCACAGCCCTGCAGCCACACTGGGCTCCTTGAGCAAGCCAGGCCTGCTGCCACCGCAGGGCCTTTGCACGGTGCTCCCTTTCTCCCTCCCGAGCACTTGCCTAGATTTGCCTTCTCAGTGAGGTCTTCTCTAAGCCCTGGATTTAAAATAACCATCCCGTTCCCTGGCTCTCTCTCACCCTGCTCTATTTTTTTCCCCCACAGCGCTTTTTGCCCTCTCCCATGCTACGCAGTTATTTTGTTTGTTGGTATTATATACTGTCCACCTCCACCCACTGGAGTATTAGCTCTCTGAGGGCAGAGATTCTGTCCATTGAGTTCAGTGCTGCATCGTCAGTACCTACAGCAGGGCCTGGTACGTGTGGAAATCCTGTGGGAGATTTCCACAATCAATTTTTTTTTTTTTTTTTTTTTTTTGAGACGGAGTCTTGCTCTGTTGCCCAGGCTGGAGTGCAGTGGCCGGATCTCAGCTCACTGCAAGCTCCGCCTCCCGGGTTTACACCGTTCTCCTGCCTCACCCTCCCGAGTAGCTGGGACTACAGGCGCCCGCCACCTCGCCCGGCTAGTTTTTTGTATTTTTTAGTAGAGACGGGGTTTCACCATGTTAGCCAGGATGGTCTCGATCTCCTGACCTCATGATCCGCCCGTCTCGGCCTCCCAAAGTGCTGGGATTACAGGCTTGAGCCACCGCACCCGGCCACACAATCAATATTTATTCCACAGGAGGCATCCCCTTCTGACCATGAGGGTTAACCACTATAGAAATTGCTCATCTACCCAGCACTTTGGGAGGCCAACGTGAGCGATCACTTGAGGTCAGGAGTTCAAGATCAGTCCGGCCAATATGGTAAAACCCCATCTCTACTAAAAATACAAAAATTAGCCAGGTGTGGTAGCACGAGCCTGTAATCCCAGCTACTCGGGAGGCTGAGGCAGGAGGATGGCATGAACCTGGGAGGCGGATGTTGCAGTGAGCTGAGACTGAGCCATTGTACTCCAGCCTGGGAGACAAGAGTGAGATTCTGGCTAAAAAAAAAAAAAAAGAAAGAAGAAAAACGAAAAAGAAACTATTCATCTAATGCAAACAACTGAACACTGGATGAAATACAGGGCCAGGTGCGATGGCTCATGCCTGTAATCCCAGCACTTTGGGAGGCTGAGGCGGGCGGATCACCTGAGGTCAGGAGTTCGAGACCAGCCTGATCAATACGGTGAAACCCTGTCTCTACTGAAAATACAAAAATTAGCCGGGCATGGTGGCAGGCACCTGTAGTCCCAGCTACTCAGGAAGCTGAGACAGGAGAACTTCTTGAACCTGGGAGGCAGAGGTTGCAGTGAGCCGAGGTTGGGCCACTGCACTCCAGTCTGGGTGACAGAGTGAGACTCTATCTCAAAAAAAGAGAAAGAAACGTAGGAAATGACTGCTTTCAGACAGAGGGCATCAGGTGGCATAGGGTGGTGGGCCCCAAGAGAAGGGAAACAAATTAAGTGCCCCCACCCCAACACACAGTGCAGCAGCTTACTGCCTGGAGAAAGTTAGCAGAGCCAGGTAGTTGAGTGGTGAGACGGAGGTTGGGCTGGAGGAGGCTAGAATCTGTAAGGAAGAATCCTGGGAAGAAGGGAGCTGTAGGCAGAGTTCGGGAAGCCTGTAGAAAGGTCCTCAAAACTTTGGCTGAACACTGATCTGACAGAAAGCAGAAGGCTGAGCAATTAATTCCTGGAGCTTACATGGGGCTGTGGCTCAGATTCCCACCAGTGAGTGGAGAGTCCTTGCAGTACATGGTGCATTGGATAGAGGCCTCAGAAAGATGCTACCATAGCCCTGACGTCTGTCCTGAACTCATTCTGACAGAACTTGAAAACAAGCATTAAAAGGATCAAAGCAATTCCAAATAACTGAGCCAGAACAAAGTCCAACACTCTTTAAAAGAATAGAATAAGATCCAGAACTCAGCAATGTAAAATTCACAATATCCATCATCTAATAAAAAAATTAAATCACGCAAAGAAGCAGGAAAATATGGCTTATAACCAGAAGAAAAATCAATCAACAGAAACAGATCCAAAAATCAACAGAAACAGAAAAATGATGAAATTAGCAGAAAGGATACTAAAGCAGTGATTATAGATTATGTTCCATATGCTCAGAAATGCAGAGGAAAACGTGAACATGATGAGAAGAGAGATGGAAGATTTAAGAAAAACAAATGCAATTTATAAAGATGAAAATAGAATATCTGAAATAAAATACTGTTGAACAAATAAATGACTTTATTTCTGCTGTTGCTCCTATCAAAACCATACAGGTTGGGGGTGGGGGAGAGCGACACAGTGGTTCATGCCTGTAGTCCCAGCATTTTGGGAGGCCGAGGTGGGCAGATTGATTGAGCCCAGGAATTCGAGACTAGCCTGGGCAACGTGGCAAAACCCTGTCTCTACAGAAAAAAAAAAAAAGAAAAAAATTAGCTGAGCATGGTGGCATATGTCTGTAGTCCCAGCTATCTGGGAGGCTGAGGTGGGAGAATCACCTGAGCCCGGCAGATTGAGGTCACAGTGAGCCATGATTGTGCCAGTTGCAGTACAGCCTAGGTGACAGAGTCACTCACTGTTGTTCAAAAACAACAATAACAACAACAAAAAACCCCACATGGGGTGTGAGAGGCATGTCTGCAAAAAGCTTATTCTCCCTGCAGACTGTGCTTGCCCCTCCCCCCACCCTGAGATGGCACGAGCTGGCTGCATTCACTTTCCCAGCGCTGCCGGACTCTGCAGAAACAGGCTTCTTTTCTATTTGGTCCTCAAATATAATCTAGATTTCAGGTTGCAAGCAGCAGCTCTCCTCAGTCACCTTTCAGCTGATATTTCCTGAGCCACCCCTCTGTCCTCTGAGCTGAGTGCACTCCACCTCCTATCCAGCATCATCATGAACCTCTCCTCTCCTTCAGTCCCACTGGATCCCACACTTAGTCATGGGGGTCTTGTAAGGGGATGATGAGCAAGGCCCGGCCTCTGCCCTGTGGAGCTCTGAGTCTAGCCAGGTTTGCACAACACAAGGCAGAGCGTGACAAGGTTCATGAGATCAATGTGGACAGGTACTTAGGGAGAAAGAAAGCTTCATGTGGAGGTCAGAGAAGGCTTCATGGAAGAGGTGGCATCTGTGCTGGGTTTTGAAGGATGAATAAGATTTGGGCTGCTGGGAATGAAGGGACGGGTATTCTGGGCAAACTGGGCTTCATCCTGCACTCCCTCACCTCTTATTTCCCCTTCTTTCAGCACCTTTGTCTGCTGCCTACTGGCACTGCCATGAAGCCTGGTCCCAAGCATCTGAGCCTGGTCCCAAGCATCTGAGTGGGGGTTCCCTGTGGTGGGAGGTTTGAGCAAGATGGGGAGCTCAGACACCAGCTCTGAGGTGACGCACGCACCCCTCCTCCCCTCCCACCTCCCTGGGTCTACCATCTTCCCTGGAATGGCTTCTGCCTGTCATCCAAGCAGGTGTCCCTCCCTTCCCTGCCCCACAGCAAGGTGGAGAGGTGGGGTCCACGGGGTAGCAGACAGAAAGTCTGGGTGAGCTTTCGACCCCTCAGGAATTCCCACCTGAAATCTCAAGATCCAAGCTGGGGCAGTGCTGGCCTGTGGCCCTGGGCATCAACTGAGCCAACCTGGGGAAAATCTGGAAAGAGGGCACCACAGTGGGGTGGCTGTGAGGCCTGATTTTGGTGCCCCGTGGTGCTGGGCCAGAATTGCATCTCCACTAAGTGCTTGAGGTGAGTTACTTAACCTCCAGTCTGCAGTGTCCTTATCTGTAAAATGGAGATTATGATACTGCCTACCTCTCAGTGTGGGCATGTTAAGCACTGCGTAAAGGCAGGTGCTGTTAGGATTATGTCACCTCGTTGTTCTTGGCAGACTTGCTGAGAGGACGGTGGCTGCACCCCCACACCTTGTCCTGGCTCCCCTCTCATCACCCCCCTCCTCCAGCTGCTGTTTCTAAACCCCAGCTTCCTGACCCCTGCTCTGGACCCTTGTCTGACAGCCCCCAGAGGGACTCATCATGTCCTTAATTGCAATTCTCTTGCTCAGCAAAGCCATCAGCACCTAATGTCCCATGTCATTGCTGGTTCTCTGTCTGCAGACACCTCACTCCTCCTCGGAGCTGCTCAGCCACGCAGGGCAACTCCATCTGGCCAGGAATGGCCATGGCACGGAGCAGTGCCAGGACCTTCTAGGGATGCATTGGTGATAATTTGCTTACAAATAATTTAATATCAGAGGGCAAAAGACTTCATGACTCTATCCCTGGCTCTTTCTGCCACTATGAACCTCCACCCTATCTCCTCCTTGAAATCACAGAGGTACCGCTTCTCTCCCCACCAAGACCTTCCCCATCTCCTGCCGAGCTGGCCCCGAACCCAGTGAAGAACTGCCGCCCCCCCGCCTGACTTGGCTTTGATGTCCTTGTTGAGTGTTTAAGATGGGGCCCAGTAAAGAGCCAGAGCTGGGGAAGGGGAACTTGGAGGAAGACTTGGAAGCCCCAGAAACCAGGATCAAGGGAGAACTTATCCCAGGAGTCTGAGTTCCCATTCTCTGGGCCCCAGCGCAGAGCCCCTTACCGTGGGCAGAATCTCTGCTAATCCAGTCAAGCCACTGCTGAAGCCGTCCTCGCAGGGTGAACAAGAATTCTGGACAGAAATATGGTGATAGGCGTTAATCAGGCTGCACTTTGACCCACTTCTTTGTAACTGACAGTCACGTAGCACTTGACACTGGTCATTTGCATCCCAATTATTCCTATAGGTAAGATTTCTGATGTTAGAGTCATAAGACTTTTGTTTAAGAATTACTTAAGCAGATCCTGAATTCTAGTGAAACAGCTGACATCAACCAGTCTGAAGACCCCCAAAGAGAAACCGAATCAGGGTGAGAACACAGTTTCTTCATCTTCCTGTCCCATAACTTCACCCTGCACTCAAATCAATCAACAATCTCCACACTCTGGCCCGCTCCAAAACCATTAAAAACCCTGGCTCCAGACTCCTTGGGGAGATGGATTTGAGGTTTCATTCTGTCTCCTGGTTTGGTGGCCCCACAGATAAACCTCTTTCTCTGATGTAACCTGGTGTTTCAGCACATTGATGTGTCATGCACAATGGGCAACAAACCCCTCCTCTCAGCCTCAGCACTCAGGGGCACCCAGGGTCACAGGGAGCAGCTTCCTCAGGAGTCCAAACCCAGGCCTGGCCTGAGAGTGGCTTGCTTAGGCTGCCTGCCCCACACCCCCAGGATGAGGCCAAAAGTATGTGGGCAGTTCTAACAGCCAGCCCAGTCCAGTCCAGGACAACAGACTTTGTTCCCAGGGACCCCAGGGACACCCCAGGTTCAAAGAGAGGCCCTTCAGGGGAGCAGGAGCCCTCCTGGCTGCAATCCTGGTCCCCCCACCTCCAGTACCCTCCACGTCCAGCCATGTTCTGGCCTCCTCCACTCCCAGGCTTGTGGGGGATTTGTCTCTCTCACCATGAGCCCAGGAGCAGACAGAGACTCCTTTGCTAGTTTCTCTCAGCACTGCTGGGATCCGCTGGCATTCTTACAAAGAACTTCCATAAATACTAAGGGAGAACAAAAGGGAAGTAATTACAGAAAATACAAACAGCATGAAAATAGTCAAGTTTTTAAAGTACTGGTTTTCCAGGCTCAGACAACCACCCTGGAGCCCCGGGGGCTGGTCTGCCGTCCCAGCAGGCCCCGTGCCAATGCTCCCACCTTCCCAGACTAGCCTGGTGCTGTCCATCAGGATCTTGGCACCTGCAGGTCTGGGGACCAGGACGAAGCCCCCATCTTTCAGTTCTAGTTTCCCATGTGAGGATTTGCCTCACCACAGCTGGCCACTGGCGCTGCAGTGTCTGACACACTGAATAACTCACCTTTCAGGTACACGCAAAGGCCTCAACCACCTGGAGAACACCTGCTGCAACAGGTAACACCCCCGTGTCCAGGCCCAAGGCCTTGTCCACTGCACACCCACTACCCAGCCCTGTTTTCACTACCATGATGGACAGCTGTTGGAGTTAACTCTCCAGCTATCCACGAACTCTGATCCATCCTGCTCACACACAGCAGTGAGCACATCAAAGCCATTTGTTCAATATGACCCAACCCCCTGAATCGACACTGGCTGGATTAGAAAAGGCACCTGAGCCAAGTTGGACCCATGAGAATTCAGTGTTTGGGGTACCGGAGTCAGGGCGCAGGGACAGTCTCTTCAGAGAGTTCTCTGTCTCTTCCACATACATTTGGGGAGCTGTGGGTGGCCACTTTGGGTCGTGAGGTCTGCCCACAGAAAAAAAATGAGGCCGGTGTGCGGGAGACATGGTGACCTGCAATTCCCAGTGCCTGTGGCTTTGCTGGCCTTGCTGCCCTTCCTTGCTGAGGCTCCACCACACTCCTGCCTTTAGGTTCTACAAGACACTCCTAAGTTCTTTCAGTAAATTGCCGCTTTGAACTTAAATGCTAGTTTGAATGGGTTTCTGTAACTTGCAACCCCAGAATTTCAACCCCTCGCCACACTGTGATAAAAACATAGTGTAACTGGGGCCTCAAGAGGACCAAAGCTGGGCACTTGCTGGGGACTTGCAGGAGGAACTGAGACGGCCCTTGGAAACGGGTGAGAGAATGGAGGGCACCAGCTGCATCTCTCCTCTGTAGGGCAGCTGTTGGGGTGGGGACCCCGGGGAGCTCATGAATGGGGCAGGTCTAGCAAAGGAGAGAAGAGACCCTTTAGAACACTGCTTGTCCCGTAGGATCAATATCAACTTGTCAGTAAACGGACTGCTGATACAGCAGGATCTTTAAGCCCGAGTCCCCACACTCTTTCCAGCATCCCACCTTCTGGCCAGGCCCCCACTCCCAACCTCTGCCTCCATGGCCATGTAACGCACCAGACTAGCCCCAGTTCAGCCACTGATGGACTGTGTGAGTTTGGGCAAGTAACCCCCGTCCCTGGGCCTTGGCCCCCTCATCCAAAACATGGCCCCCATAATCCCCTTCTATTATGCAAGGTTCCTTCGAATTCTGCCCTCCCTTCTCTGGTCCCTTCCTCCTTTGCCCCTTCCTTCTGCTTGGCACTTGCCTGCCCAGCAAGCCTCCCCTTCTGATCCATGCAGTTCAGCGCACTCCCACCCGCTTCCTACAGCTCAGGAAACTGTGAGGGCCAGGCACTGGTGTGTACGGCGCCTTCGAATCTTACTTTCAGTTAAGATGCTCACCCAGTCTCCCCTTTCAGAAGGAGATCCTCTGAGGGCAGAGATCTGGTCCTCTTCTCCTTCTAGACCACTCAGCGTGCCTGGAACAGGGCTGAGCCCAGAGCGGGGTGCCTGGATGAGCCCTGCCCTGCCGGCCTGCTCCCTGACCTTTCCTCCTGACCTTTCCCATCCCCTCTCCTGGCAGGGAGGATGCTCCAGAGCCCGCATTCCAAACTAAGCCAGAGTTGGGGATCCCCAGCCTCACCAGAAAGCCAGCTCCAGCCATGGGAGGGGGCATTGTTGGCTGTTTCTTCCCCACAGGCCTGCTCTCCTCACCCCTGCACCCTTCTGTCTGCAGGGGAGGCGGTGTGCCTCACCTGAGCCAGTCACCACAGCTCCAGTGCGGCTGGCTCTTTCCCTTCCTCTCCCGCTCCCTGGCACGGACCGGAACACCGTTCTCCTCCCACCGCCCATCTTCAGTCGCCCCTCGCCTCCCCACCCCCGCCTTCGCTTCCCATGCTGGCGTGTCTCCCCCCCAGGCAGCTGGGAGCAGGGCGCCTTCGATTTCTCTATTCAGTCTGAGGCGTAGCAATTTTCTGCTCTCCCATAATTAGGGGAATTTTAAGCAAACTCCCCGACGGATGATTACAGCAGGTTCAATCCCGGCTCCTTTGATCAGGGAATGAGGACGTTGTTGGAATATTCCTCAACCTGCTGGCCAGACAGGCTCTGAGGCGCACGCCCGGCTCTCGGGCTCCCCCTGGAGGGCTTTGAACTTGTGTCCTGGCATCTGAGTGTCCCTGGGTGCTGGAGTCTCCCCAGGAGAGGACTGGGTTCAAATTCTGCTTCATGAAGAATTATCCCAGATGTAGCTTCTCTAGCTTTGGGCCAATATCTGGGTTCGGAGCCAGAGTTGGAGGTGTTCTCTTGGGTAGGAAGGAAAATTAAAGGGTCATGTAGGGCAGACACCCAGGGTTGCGGTGAATGGCTGTGCAGGTCATACACCGTGCCCTCTAGGGGACATTATTCTCCCTGTAGCTTGCGGGAATGGGACTCCTAGGGATGTGCAGTGTCCAGCCTGCACAATACAACTGACGGGTTGAACTGCTTCAATGACTCCACTTTTCTAAAATGGCAGAAGAGCCACCTCCTTAGAGTTGAAAGGGGCTCTCCTCTGTTTAGTCCCTTTCCCTCGCCTGTTGTGCCTGCCCAAGGCAGTGTGGAAGAGAGAAAAAAGCATGGCCTTTGCAGCCGCAGACTAGAGGGGAATTCCAGTTTGAATGTTTCCTGGCCGTGTAACCTTGGGTTAATTAATGAACCTCCCTGAACTGTAATATCAATCTTAAAGGACTGTTTTGAGGATTAAGTAAGAAATGGACTAAAACATTGTTTGGACCTTATGGGTCCTCAATAAATATCTCTCCCTTCTCCTTTCCCTGCCCATGTCACACTTTCCTCTTAAACATTTAATCTTCCCAGGCAAACCCTATTCTCTTCTGTCTGCCCCAGCCCCGAGTCCCCCCAAAGGCTGTGCCAGATAGCAGACTGGATAGCTATATATATATATTTTTTTTTTTTGGCGGGGGGGTCGGAGTCTTGTTCTGTCACCCAGGCTGGAGCACAACGGCGTGGTTTTGGGTCACTGCAACCTCTGCTTCCTGGGTTCAAACAATTCTCCTGCCTCAGCCTCCCGAGTAGCTGGGACTACAGGCGTGTGCCACCACACCCGGCTGATTTTTGTATTTTTAGTAGAGACGGGGTTTCACTATGTTGGCCAGGCTGGTCTCGAAATCCTAACCTAGTGATCTGCCCACCTCGGCCTCCCAAAGTGTTGGGATTACAGGCGTGAGCCACCGCACCCGGCCCAGACTGAGTATATTAATAGACTACTAATGTTTCTGGCATCCCCGAGCAGTGGTCCTGGCTTTTCCGTAGGTTAATTAGGCCATATTTCAGGATAATTACGACTGTATATTCCTACACTAATTAAGTGGCTCTAAACCCTCTCCACAATGCAGCTCTGCGAATCATAATTAAGCCTTACCCCGAAGTTCCTGTGCCAGCCACGGAGCCCTGCGAGCAGCCTGTTGTCCCCACTCCCAGTCACAGGAAAGGCTGCATCTGAACCATGGACTTGAAAAGGACCTGTTTTCCCAGGATCATGTCGAGATGATTCCCAATGAATATTGGATGAGGCTTTGCCTTGTTCCTCTTTTGTTTTCACAAGGAGAGAGAGGAATAAAAATACAGTGTTGATATAGGTTTATCTCCTTCTCCTCCCCGCTCTGTTGAGTAGATGTAAGTGGATTCCCAGGGGATACAGGTGGGCAGGGATGAGAAGGTGACGCCTGCATGCCTGGGCATAGGGGTGTGTGTGTCACACTTCGGTGAGCGTACGTGAGAATGTGTCTGTTATAGCTATTGTTCACTAAGGACTTATGTCTAACATTAGCCAGCCCAGTTCATGACTACCCAACGGTGAAAACATGTGAACCAGAAAACACCTGTTGGAGAGGGCTACATCAGTCTTCTCATTCCCAGTTGTTTTGTTCTTTCATTTTTTTTTTTTCTTATTTTAGAGACAGAGCCTCTGTATTAGTCTGTTCCTCACACTGCTTTGAAGAATGACTGGATATTGAGTAATTTATTTTCTTAAAAAAGAGGTTTAATTGGCTCACGGTTCTGTAGGCTGTACAGGAAGCATGGCTGGGGAAGCCTCTGGAAACTTTCAATCATGGTGGAAGTGGAAGCAGGCACGTCTTACATGGCCAGAGCAGGAGAGGAGAGAGAAGGGGGAGGTGCCACACATTTTCAAACAATCAGATCCCGTGGAAACTCACTATTACAAGAATGGCAAGGGGGAAATCCACCTCCGTGATCCAATCCCTTCCCACAGGCTCCTCTTTGAACACTGGGGATTACAATTTGACATGAGATTCGGGCAAAGACACAAATTTAGACCATATCCTGGTGGATAGTCTTGCTCTGTCAGTCAACCTGGAGTGCAATGGTGTGATCATAGCTCATTACAGCCTTGGACTCCTAGGCCTAAGCAGTCCTCTCACCTCAGCCTCCTGCATAGCTGGGACTACAGGAGCACACCATTGCACCTGGTTAATTTTTTTTTTTCCAGAGACTCAGTCTCACTATGTTGCCAGGCTGGTCTTGAACTCTTGGCTTCAAGCAATCCTCCTGCCTTGGCCTCCCAAAGTGCTGAGATTACAAGTGAGAGCCACTGTGCCTGACCTGTTTTGTCCTTAATGGACCTTGCAAATTAGACTGCGCACACCTGGCGCTGGCCAGCCCTTCAGGCTAATGTCAGGATTAGCCTGAATTGTGGAGTTGTCAGAAGATCTAATTTTGAGTCTTGGCTCTACCACTTGCTGATTACGTTACCTTAAGGAGGTCATTTGGCCTCCTGAGCCTTAGCTTCTTATCTGGAAAATGAAAATATTACCAACTATCTCACAGAACTGCTGAGAAAATTAAATAAGACATGAGGATGGAGCCAGTGACCCCATGTGAGAAGGCCATGAATTCTGAGCTGTTCTTTCAGCCATGGAGAGCGGCTCCCATGGAAAGGGCCACCCTCCCTTCCGGGTCCTGTATTTGGTGGCTCTTGGTCCTGGTGTGTTCCATCCGTGTTCATGGGCCACAGAGGGTCAGAATCCAGGACGTCATTGCAGTAGCACCAGCGTTCACCACTAGGGCTCACTGGGATGCAGGTGTTCTCCTTAATGAGGGAAAACACGAAGCCCCTCTCATCTTGTACGGCAGGAGCTTGGAGAGGCCACCATGGGTCAGGACAGCCGCTGGAGGATGGATATGAAATGTCCGGAAAGGGTTTCTGAATCAACAATGCACGGACCTCGATCCCAGGCTTGCAGTCCTTCAAACCTCTGGCCTCCCTGCCCTTGAGAGCAGCTTCATTCCCCAACCCTGATCCCTGTAGTCCCACCTCCCCTGCCGTTCTGGGGCCAGCAGCCCAGGCAGCAAAGAGGAAACAGCGGAGACATGTCCTTTTTCTTGCTCTCTTTCTGTGAAGAGGTGGCTCCAGGCACTCTGAGTAAGACACTAATCAAAGAAGGACAGGTGACAATACACCAACATCTGTGGAAGCCAAGGAGACACTCGGCTGTCCTCAGTAACAGGACAGGGAAGGGAGGCAGCGTTTATTTAACCTGGTTGTCACACACCGCCCCTGGCTTCTTTGACAAGAGAGCACTGTGTGAAGGCACAGATAAGCTCTGCTGGAAAATTGACAGCAATGAAGGAGGCCCCAGCCTCTCCACTGCTGTGGCCTGTGGATTATGGCTCTGTTCAAATAGAGGGAGGTGAGAGGCACGCGCAGCTTCCCCAAAACACGATCTGTAGGTGCAGGGGGAGTGAACCTTGTTCTCCGTAAGGAGGGAGGGAAAGCCCACCCTGGGCTAGCAGGAAATAAGAGCTCAGAGGACGGTCCTAGCTGACTTTTGATGGAGAAGGGAACTTGCTTTCTTGGTAGAGATGCAGAGCAGGTCCAAGGTGGACTTTCTACTATTTGTGCTGAGGGAGGTGAGAAAGGGTGGAGCGTAAGGCGGAGGCTCAGCACATAGGAGTGGTGAGTGAGCTGGTCACAGTGAGCCTGCACAGCCGGACTGTGCCCACAGAGCTCCCTGGCAGCACAAACAAAGCTTGTAAGAGATCTCAGTCGAGGAGGAGTCTCTACTGAAGTGGGAGGTTGGGCGAGAGATGGGGGCGGCAACAGAGCGGAGCCACAGAGGCCAGGCTAGGGAAACAGATCCTCTTGCATGTGGCTCTCACACTCACTTCTTGTGCACAGGAAGGCATGCACAATGCCTATTTACACACTTATGCACGCCCATACGTGTACAAACATCTGTGCATGCACACTGCTATGGTGGTATATTTATTTTTGAGGTAGGGTCTCACTGTGTTGACCAGGCTGGAGTGCCGTAGTGCAACCATGGCTCACTGCAGCCTCTATCTCCTGGGCTCAAGGAATCCTCCTACTTCAGCCTCCTGAGTAGCTGGAACTATGGGCATGCACCACCATGCCCAGATAATTGTTTTATTTTTATTTTGTAGAGACAGGGTCTTGCTACATTGCTCAGGCTGCTCTCAAACTCCTGGACTCAAGTGATCCTCCCACCTTGACCTCTCAAAGTGTTGGGATTACAGGCGTGAACCACTGCACCCAGCCACGGTTTGATTATATGAGCCCTCTAAATCTTATGTTGAAATCTAATCCCCAATATTGGAGGTAGGGCCTTGTGAGAGGTGTTTGGGTTGTAGGGTTGGAACCTTCAGCACCATTCTCATGGGAGTGAATGAGTTTCCACTCTTAGTTCCCACAGGATTGTTGGAAAGAACCTGGCACCCTCTCCCCTCTCTCTCTTGCTTTCTCTCTTACCATGTGACCTACACATGTGTCTCTGTTTGTCTTCTGCCGTGAGTGGAAACTTCCCAAATCCCTTACCAGAAGCAGATGCTTTGGTGCCATGTTTCTTGTACAGCCTGCAGAACCACGAACCAAAGAAATGTCTTTTCCTTATAAGTTACCCAGTCTCAGGAATTCCTTTATAGCAATGCAAATGGATTAAAACATAGACCTGGTGTTATGACTGAATGTTAATCCCCCCACCACAAATTCCTGTGTTGAAGCTCTCACCCACAATGTGATGGCATTTGGAGACAGGGCCTTTGGGAGGTGACTAGGGTTAGATGGGGTCACGAGTGTAGGGCACTCATGATGGTGAAACCAGTCCAATTTCCCCATAAAACTGAAGCTTGAGAAACTTACATTTGTTTTATTTGAGTTCCTTTCTCAGGAAACTGTTAGTCCTCTAAGATACTATCAAGAAAATAGAACAGGCTTGGCGTGGTGGCTCACACCTGTAATCCCAGCACTTTCAGGGGCTGAGGCAGGAGGATTGCTTTAGCCCAGGAGTTCAAGACCAGCCTGGGCAACATGGTGAGACCTTGTCTCTTAAAAAAAAAAAAAATTAGCCGGGTGTGGTGGCATATACCTGCAGTCCCAGATACGCAGGAGGCTGATGTGGGAGGATCACCTGGGCCTGGGAGGTTGAGACTGCAGTGAGCTATGATTGTACCACTGTACTCCAGCTTGGGTGAAAGAGCAAGACCCTGTCTCAAAACAAACAAACAAACAAACAAACAAACAAAAACAAACAAACAAAAAAACGAACAAACAAACTTCCCAGACCACCACATCCAATGAGACACACCTGCTCCTGTTGACCAACTCCTCTTCCTTACCACTCCCTAAGTCTCCGCTGTCTTAGCCCCTAACTTCACATTTTTCAGAACTAAAGAAACATATAAGCCCTCAGACAGAAGGGGTTAAAGGAGTACTGAACCAGATAGAAAAGGAAAAAAAACCTTATATATAGACACATTAGAGTGAACTTCTTAAAAATTGTTAATAGATTTTTTTTTTTTTGGAGCAATTTTAGGTTCATGGCAAAAGTGAGCAGAGTTCCCATATACCCCTGCCCTCCTCACTTGGTGCCGCTATCAGCATCCCAGCACCAGAGTGTTATATTTTTTACAACACACAACTATCATCAAAAATCCATAGTTTGCATTATGGTTCAGTGTTGGTGCTGTCCATTCCGTGGGTTTGGACAACTGTATAATGACATATATCCACCACTGAAGCATCACACAGAACAATTTCACTGTCCCCCAAATATTCTGTGCTCTGTTTGTTCATTCCTTCCTCTACCCTAACCCCTGACAACCACTGATCTTTTTGCTGTCTCCATAGTTTTGCCTTTTCAAGAACGCCTTACAGCTGGAATCGTATTGTATGTAGCCTTTTCAGATCTGCTTGTTCCACTTAGTAATATGTATTTAAAATTATTCCATGTCTTTTCATGGCTCATTTTTTTTTTTTTTTTTTTTTTGGCAGAGTCACCCAGGCTGGAGTGCAGTGTCATGATCTCAGCTCACCACAACCTCTGCCTCTGGTGTTCAAGCGATTCTCCTGTCTCAGCCTCCTGAGTAGATGGGATTACAGGCGCCCACCACCACGCATGGCTAATTTTTGTATTTTTAGTAGAGACGGGGTTTCACCATGTTGGCCAGGCCAGTCTCGAACTCCTGACCTCAGGTGATCAGCCCGCCTTGGCCTCCCAAAGTGCTGGGATTACAGGCATGATTGTGGCTCATTTCTTTTTAGCAGTGAATAGTATTCCATTGTCAGGATGTACCACAGTTTGTTTATCCATTCACCTACTGAAGGACATTTTGGTTGCTTCTAAGTTTTACCAGTTATGAATAAAGCTGTTATAAACATCTGTGTACAGATTTTTGTGTGGACATAACTTTTCAACTCCTTTGGGCAAATACCAAAGAGTGGGCTTGCTGGATTTGATGGTAAGAGTATGTTTAATTTGGAAGAAACAACCTAACTGTCTTCCACCGTGGCTGTTCTATTTTGCCTCTCCACCAGCAGTGAATGAG